AAACATTATAGAATTGGATATTTTGCATTACATTACAGGCCTGCCTATGTGGGGGGTTGTGCTTTTTAAGGGGGAATTTGGTGAGTCAATTTGAGTCTATGACAGCAACCTGATTCTTTTTACCAATGCCAGCTAGGGGTTTGGAAAGGGAGATTTCCTTTTCTACCAAAGACATTCAGTGTGGAAACCCAACGCAGCAGAGTAATAGGCGTTCCATATAGGACTACGAAGGCAACAATTTCCTCATTGTGTGTATTTCCATAATAGCTACAAGAGCCTCTCATTCTCGCCCTATGTAAGTGCCCAATTAGAGAGATTTCAAAGAGGGAGAAAGTCTTCAAGGTACTTGGTTTTCAGGGCTTTTTTGATTTAGTTTTCATTTTTCATTGTGGTTTTAATCCCAAATGAAACTGGCAAGAAAAGGCAGCGTGCTATCTCAGCAAAGTTTATCTCCTGTTCATTCCGCTCAGGGAGAAGCTGGCAGAGCCTCCAGCAATCCCTCCCTTCTCCTGAGTGAGTGGGCTACAAATGCGTGGGCTGGGCTGGAGCCAGTCAGGCACCTACCCCTAGTTTGGTGGAGAAATCCTGGCCTGATGATCAACAAAGCAAATTTACCTCCTGCTTTAGCAACATCCATCCTGCCTCTGAGCTCACAGTGAGGAATCCAGACCTCAGAGCAAATTCTTACCAACATCCACAGAGTGCCTCTTGCAAGGACTCTCTTCACTTTCCTGCATCCAGTCCTCAGCATATTGACCAGTCAGAAATGTGCCAATCATCTTTATCCACAAACATTTTACTCAAACCCCAGCTCTGCTCTGCGACTTTGACAATTTGCTTAGCTCTTCTAAGCCTCAGTTTCCTCATTTGTAAAATGGGGATCTGTAATAAAAATCCAGTTCCTGGGGCTGCTGTGAAGGCCAGATTGGTCCCTTCGGGGCAAATGACTTTAGGAGCTAGGGTCTGGCAAGGCTGGACATACCTCTGCTCTGAATGACTGTGAGGGAATGGGGCAGACACGAGATGGGTGTGACCTTTGCGTTAGCATCTGTGAGCTGTGAGACCTGGAGCAAGTTATTTCAGCTGCAGAAACTTTATTTTCTTCCTCTAAATAATGGGAGTAATAATAGCACCTAAGGCATAGGGTGGTGGGAGGACTGAATGTGACAGTTGATGTGCAAGAACAAGAGCTCACACTCACAGGGCACTCAGCACGTGGGAAGCATGGCTCTAAGCACTTTCCATTTGGGGCCAGTTGGCCAGGCAGGCATCCAACATTTATTTTGCACGTGTGACACCTAGCCCCATGCCAGGCGACTGGGACTGAATGAGGCACACGGCAGATGTGGTCTCTGCCTGCCCACGTTATGGGGCAGGGGAGGAGATGGGGTGACCAGGCACACGCCGTGAGGAGTGCTGCATGCTGCAGTGGTGGACGGGGTTCGCATGAAGGAGACTTACTGCCTCTGAGAAACTCCTCACCCAGCAGAGAGGTTAAAGAGGTTGGAGTCTTTCTATGGCTGGGAGCGGCTGCCATTCACCTTTAGGATCTGGGACTCTGAGCAGGGAGGCTGGTCAGTAGGGCTGAAATGGGGCCTGCTCCTTGAGCAGGGTCTAAGCTGAGGAGCTGCAGCATGTGAAACACCAAGGAGTGACCCTCCAGGTGCACATATTTGAAGCTGCCATTTCCTTGGCTAAAGCTCCCAGCCTGGGGGGATCTTGTAGGGAGATACTGGCTGCTGTCACCCTGCAGATTTCAGGGAAGAGCAGGTGAAAGGGACCCCTGAGCCAGGGCTGATGGGCTCTCCAGCTACCCTTGAGCAGGCGTTTTGTAGCAAGTATCTCTTCCTGTTAAGTTTCCCTCCCAAACCTGCATTCCTAAGCAGCTCAGCATATGGACAGAATCTGCAGGAGGCGGGGGAAGTGGGGAGGGGTGTCCAGCCCAAAGCATGTCACAGATGCCCACGGAGAGCTGGGGAGGATTAGAGCGAATCATTAATTGTCATTAATATGCTGGGGCTTAACAGCCCTGGGTTTATTTTTACACTGAAGACCAGACGTGCCTTGCACATGTCCCTGGGTTCTGGGCTCTGGGGGAGAAGAGAAAACTGGTTGCACTTGTCATCTGCCAGCCTCTCCAGGATTGGACAGTGGACCTTCAGCTTGGCTCCACGGCCTGGCAGAAACCATGGCTTCCAAGGAGCCCCTCACCCTCCTTCTTTTTTGGTTTTCTTCCTTCAAAAGGGCTCTGTGGCTCGTTGACCTGTCGGCCAAAGGCCTCAGGGATGAAGGGAGCAGTCCACAAGGAAGATGAATGACGTCACAGAAAAGGCCGCCATTCAAGGATTAAACTGCTACCTAGAAGAGTGTTGTATCAAAAGAAAAACCTTGGACCAGCTGTGGTGGCTCACGCCTATAATCCCAGCATTTTGGGAGGCCAAGGCGAGTGGATCGCCTGAGGTTAGGAGTTCGAGACCAGCCTGGCTAATATAGTGAAACCCCGTCTCTACTAAAAATACAAAAAATTAGCTGGGTATGGTGGCAGGCACCTGTAATTTCAGCTACTCAGGAGGCTGAGGCAGGAGAATTGCTTGAACATGGGAGGTGGAGGTTGCAGTGAGCCAAGATTGTGCCACTGTACTTCAGCCTGGGCAACAAGAGCAAAACTCTGTCTCAAAAAAAGAAAAACAAACAAACAAACAAAAACAAAAAAAAAAAAAGAAAGAAAAGAAAAGGTTTTACAGCAGGACTTTTATAGATACTAACTTCTATAGAAGCAAATGGACTTCTGGATCGCCTTTCCTTTCAGATGGTTATTGAAAACCCAGGGTTGACTCTAAAATTGATTTTGCAATCCTTATGAGAAGCTGGTGGCTCTTGCTGGAGACACTCATGTTAGCCAATATTGTCCTCTGAGGCTAGAGGCACCATGAGGAGGTGGGTACGGGGGTTCCATGAATCCTTGAAGAATTGTGTTGAGCCTTTACTCTGTGCCAGCACTGAGCTGGGCCTGTGAATTCATCACACTGAGCACACTGGTTGTGCATGGAAGGCTCCATCAGCAGAGAGCAGTGGGGTTCTGTCTTCCAAGTGGTAGGCACCCTGTTATCTCTCCTTTCCCCATACTTCTGCCAGCTTTCCTTCTGGGGCTTTTGCCCTTTTCCCATTTGCTGGCATTTGGGAGAACTTTGTCAGTTTCTAGGTGGTTGAATTAGTTTCCTGTGCCTGTTATAGCAAAACCATAAACTTGGTGGCTTCAGACAACACACATTGATTACAATTCTGTAGGTTAGAAGTCTGACATGGGTCTCACTGGATTGAAGTCAAGGTGTCTGCATGGCTGTGTTCCTTTCTGGAGACTCCATGGGAGAACCTGTTCCCCTGCCTTTTTCAACTTCTCGAGGCACACACTTTCCTTGGCTTGTGATTTCTTCATCTATCTTAAAAGCCAGCAATGTTGAATGGCTCCAGGCCTTTCCTCCACAGCCACATTGCCATTATTCTGCCTAGCGGGTTCGTCACTATTGTTTGGTAGCACTGCTAGTTGTTCCTCCTGCACCTGTATTTGTGGGGATGCAGGGCTCCTGGCACAGTTGGACAGAGGGTGGAAAACACCTTCATGTCCTGGAGAAGGAGCCCTGTGCTAGATATTGGGTGGGAGGTGGTGCCTTCTGAGATCCCTCCTGCTCTAAGGGCTGTGATTTTGATGACTCTGTGTTATGGACTGAATTGTGCCCTCCTCAAAATTCATACACTCAAGCCCTAACTCCCAATGTGATTATACTTGGAGAGAGTGTCTTTAAAAGAGGTCATTAGGTTACATGAGGTCATAAGGGTGGGCCATAATCCAGTAGGACTGGTGTCCTTATAAGAAGAGGACTAGATGCCAGGGATGCGTGTGCACAGAGAAGAGGCCACGTGAGGCTACAGTAAGGAGGTGGCCATCTGCAAGCCAAGGAAACCAACCCCACTGACACCTTAATCTTAGACTTTCAACCTTCAGACCATGGGAAAATAAATTTCTGTTGTTGAAACCACCGAGTGTATGGTATTTTGTTATGGCAGCCCTAGCAAGTAAGATATCCAGGCTGGAAGACAGGATCAGTGTTCATCTCAGGCAACATTGCCACCTCACCTGGCTCAGTGCCTGTGGAAAAAGTTTACTACTGGCATTGCAACCTAATGGCTCCATTGATCTTTCCCCTCCCTCCCATCTATTTTCTGGGATCTTCTTTCATTCAAAGGTGAGTCTTTGGAACAAACATCACTCTCTTTGTCTGAATTCCTGTGGGTTATTTTCTGAGTTCTTGAAGGTTTATTGTGGTTCGTTTGAGGGTATCCTTGATGAAACCAAGAATGACCCACAACTGGAAGTCTGCTGGATATGGTTTGTAGTGGAGAGAGTCTGGAGACCTTTGTGAGGGTCACTTAAAATACTTAAAATAACATGATTTCCTCTTGGATCTCACTTGTCTTACCTTGAAACAAAGAGGCAAGATTAGATCAGGGATGGCAAAGAGGTTTGCCAGTTCCAATTAATTCAGAGTGGTTGCCTGGGACCAGTAGGAAAGAATGCTACCCCCAATTAGTCATGTCTGCAAAGGGATGCAGGAGGAGAGAAAGGTAGCATATATTATCAAGTATCTGCCATCTCAGAATCAGAGTCTTAAATTAAGGTCTCTTCCAGCTCCAAGTTTCTAAGACCTTTGTTGATCAAAGGTTCATGCAAACCTAGGATCCAAATGTTGCCTGGTATCTTGTCTGGAGTCGTACTTCTACCCTGCTGCCTTGGACCACCCACACTCTTGCAGTCTCCTGCTGCTTCCCTTTCATTGGCTCTCTCTCCTTGCTGGCACACGAAGTCCTGGGATGCCCATTCCAAGCTTTCCTCTCACTGCTAATTACGGTATTTCTTCTGAGCCCTATTGTTTAACGACTCAGATTGCCCTTCAGCCCACATCCCCCAGACCCCCTTTGGGATCCAGCTCTGATTTCATTAAGATTTGTTCCGTTGCCAGTGGCCATAAGTGGAAGATCCGCTTTTGAACTGGAAAACCACTCAAACCTTTTGAAGTTCGTCCTCAGCAAAGTCCAATCAGAGGAAATGTAAGGGTTGTTTTTTTTTCTTTTAAAGCAAAGAGTGCTCTGTGTATGTGTGTGTGTGTTTCCCCCCCAAAGAAAGCATTTCAAATGCTCATTAGGCAAAAATATCTATTTTACATGCACTGTAATTGTTCTACCTAAGATGAAATATGTTATTTTTCTTAAGTAAAGCTACAGGCAGTTTATTAGCAGAGCTAATTAACCCACAATCAGGAACTGGCTCACCTCTAATCACAACCTGCCTGCATTCTTCACAGGCAATGTGGTAGTGCTACAGCACTTATATTTATAAATATGTGCAATGCAATATGAACTATATTTATGGGGACAGCATCAATTTTTTTAGCCACAAAAACTGACCTACCTAAAACAGATGGTGAGAGAACTGGACTGCCATTCTGGGGCTGGAGGTGGAGACTCTTCATCTCTTCAGCAAGAGCTTTTTTTTTTTTTTTTTAAATCTATTATCCTGTTAGGCCTTTTCCTCCCAATGAGAATTTCCAAGTGAAGGGTTGTCTAGCGCACTGTGTGTTGCAAGCCGGCTGTCTCCTGGTGGGTGGACGTCAGCCTTTTCTTCACCTCCCTCAGTTAGTTCCTCACTGCAGGGAATGAATGAAGGTAGCCCCAGTGAGGTTGGTAGCTGTCTTGGCCAAGGGAGATTGTCTGAGGAAGGTGGACAGGTCTGCTGGGGCTTGGGCAAGGGTCAAGCTGAAGGAATTCCTCCCAGTATTCAGGGAACTCTGCCAGTGAAGGCAGAAATTGTCCCATTGGTGGTAGGCAGCACATATTAGGTTAGTTTAATGGGATATCTGCCAGAGACCATGGAATGCTCATGTCTTGACCTGACGACGATGTTTTGGCAGGGTTTTAAGACATTGAATAGGAGTAGAGAACCAAGTAGGAATAAAGAATCACTTTTGCTGGACTCTATGACAAAGAGTGCCTTAAAGCCTGAATGCACATCTTAGGTGTTCGCTAACTGTGGCCAGCTGAACAGAAGGCATTGAGAGAGAAACAGCCAGGTCCCAAGAGGATCCTCTGCATAGACTGGAGGGAAGAGGCAGCTGAGTGTAGACACACAATGATGCTGGGCACCCCAGTGAATGCTCTGTGCCCGGACGGATTCGATGGATATTTCTTCCTGCGGTGGAATGGGGTGGTTGTGAGGTAAGCAGGAAGGAAGATGCCAAGATTATCTAATTATTGATAAAAGTTATTGCTTATTTGATGAAAGGGGGGAAGGGAGGAAGGAAGAGAGGGAGGGTAGGAGGAAAGAAAGAAGTGACATTCAGAATCTAGTATGTGTCAAGCAATATGTCAAATACTTTTTTTTAAAATTATTATTATTTTTTATTATTATACTTTAAGTTCTGGGGTACATGTGCATAACGTGCAGGTTTGTTACATATGTATACTTGTGCCATGTTGCTGTGCTGCACCCATCAACTCGTCAGCACCCATCAACTCGTCATTTACATCAGGTATAACTCCCAATGCAATCCCTCCCCCCTCCCCCCTCCCCATGATAGGCCCCGGTGTGTGATGTTCCACTTCCCGAGTCCAAGTGATCTCATTGTTCAGTTCCCACCTATGAGTGAGAACATGCGGTGTTTGGTTCTCTGTTCTTGTGATAGTTTGCTAAGAATGATGGTTTCCAGCTGCATCCATGTCCCTACAAAGGACACAAACTCATCCTTTTTTATGGCTGCATAGTATTCCATGGTGTATATGTGCCACATTTTCTTAATCCAGTCTGTCACTGATGGACATTTGGGTTGATTCCAAGTCTTTGCTATTGTAAATAGTGCCGCAATAAACATACGTGTGCATGTGTCTTTATAGCAGCATGATTTATAATCCTTTGGGTATATACCCAGTAATGGGATGGCTGGGTCATATGGTACTTCTAGTTCTAGATCCTTGAGGAATCGCCATACTATTTTCCATAATGGTTGAACTAGTTTACAATCCCACCAACAGTGTAAAAGTGTTCCTATTTCTCCATATCCTCTCCAGCACCTGTTGTTTCCTGACTTTTTTATGATTGCCATTCTAACTGGTGTGAGATGGTATCTCATTGTGGTTTTGATTTGCATTTCTCTGATGGCCAGTGATGATGAGCATTTTTTCATGTGTCTGTTGGCTGTATGAATGTCTTCTTTTGAGAAATGTCTGTTCATATCCTTTGCCCACTTTTTGATGGGGTTGTTTGTTTTTTTCTTGTAAATTTGTTTGAGTTCTTTGTAGGTTCTGGATATTAGCCCTTTGTCAGATGAGTAGATTGCAAAAATTTTTTCCCATTCTGTAGGTTGCCTGTTCACTCTGATGGTAGTTTCTTTTGCAGTGCAGAAGCTCTTTAGTTTAATGAGATCCCATTTGTTAATTTTGGCTTTTGCTGCCGTTGCTTTTGGTGTGTTAGACATGAAGTCTTTGCCCATGCCTATGTCCTGAATGGTACTACCTAGGTTTTCCTCTAGGGTTTTTATGGTATTAGGTCTAACATTTAAGTCTCTAATCCATCTTGAATTAATTTTCGTATAAGGAGTAAGGAAAGGATCCAGTTTCAGCTTTCTACTTATGGCTAGCCAATTTTCCCAGCACCATTTATTAAATAGGGAATCCTTTCCCCATTTCTTGTTTCTCTCAGGTTTGTCAAAGATCAGATAGCTGTAGATGTGTGGTATTATTTCTGAGGACTCTGTTCTGTTCCATTGGTCTATATCTCTGTTTTGGTACCAGTACCATGCTGTTTTGGTTACTGTAGCCTTGTAGTATAGTTTGAAGTCAGGTAGCGTGATGCCTCCAGCTTTGTTCTTTTGACTTAGGATTGTCCAGAGAGAAAGGTCGGGTTACCCACAAAGGGAAGCCCATCAGACTAACAGCAGATCTCTCGGCAGAAACTCTACAAGCCAGAAGAGAGTGGGGGCCAATATTCAACATCCTTAAAGAAAAGAATTTTAAACCCAGAATTTCATATCCAGCCAAATTAAGTTTCATAAGTGAAGGAGAAATAAAATCCTTTACAGATAAGCAAATGCTTAGAGATTTTGTCACCACTAGGCCTGCCTTACAAGAGACCCTGAAGGAAGCACTAAACATGGAAAGGAACAATTGGTACCAGCCATTGCAAAAACATGCCAAAATGTAAAGACCATGTAAGCTAGGAAGAAACTGCATCAACTAACAAGCAAAATAACCAGTTAATATCATAATGGCAGGATCAAGTTCACACATAACAATATTAACCTTAAATGTAAATGGACTAAATGCTCCAATTAAAGACACAGACTGGCAAACTGGATAAAGAGTCAAGACCCATCAGTCTGCTGTATTCAGGAGACCCATCTCACACACAGAGACATACATAGGCTCAAAATAAAGGGATGGAGGAAGATTTACCAAGCAAATGGAGAACAAAAAATAGCAGGGGTTGCAATACTAGTCTCTGATAAAACAGACTTTAAACCATCAAAGATCAAAAGAGACAAAGAAGGCCATTACATAATGGTAAAAGGATCAATTCAAAAGGAAGAGCTAACTATCCTAAATATATATGCACCCAATACAGGAGCACCCAGATTCATAAAGCAAGTCCTTAGAGACTTACAAAGAGACTTAGACTCCCATACAATAATAATGGGAGACTTCAACACTCCACTGTCAACATTAAACAGATCAACGAGACAGAAAGTTAACAAGGATATCCAGGAATTGAACTCAGCTCTGCAGCAAGCAGACCTAATAGACATCTATAGAACTCTCCACCCCAAATAAACAGAATATACATTCTTCTCAGCACCACATCGCACTTATTCCAAAATTGACCACATAATTGGAAGTAAAGCACTCCTCAGCAAATGTACAAGAACAGAAATTGTAACAAACTGTCTCTCAGACCACAGTGCAATCAAACTAGAACTCAGGACTAAGAAACTCACTCAAAACTGCTCAACTACATGGAAACTGAACAACCTGCTCCTGAATGGCTACTGGGTACATAACGAAATGAAGGCAGAAATAAAGATGTTCTTTGAAACCAATGAGAACAAAGATACAACATACCAGAATCTCTGGGACACATTTAAAGCAGTGTGTAGAGGGAAATTTATAGCACTAAATGCCCACAAGAGAAAGCAGGAAAGATCTAAAATTGACACTCTAACATCACAATTAAAAGAACTAGAGAAGCAAGAGCAAACACATTCAAAACCTAGCAGAAGGCAAGAACTAACTAAGATCAGAGCAGAACTGAAGGAGATAGAGACACAAAAAACCCTCCAAAAAAATCAACGAATCCAGAAGTTGGTTTTTTGAAAAGATCAACAAAATTGACAGACCGCTAGCAAGACTAATAAAGAAGAAAAGAGAGAAGAATCAAATAGACGCAATAAAAAATGATAAAGGGGATATCACCACCGACCCCACAGAAATACATACTACCATCAGAGAATACTATAAACACCTCTATGCAAATAAACTAGAAAGTCTAGAAGAAATGGATAATTTCCTGGACACTTACACTCTTCCAAGACTAAAGCAGGAAGAAGTTGAATCCCTGAATAGACCAATAGCAGGCTCTGAAATTGAGGCAATAATTAATAGCCTACCAACCAAAAAAAGTCCAGGACCAGATGGATTCACAGCTGAATTCTACCAGAGGTACAAGGAGGAGCTGGTACCATTCCTTCTGAAACTATTCCAATCAATAGAAAAAGAGGGAATCCTCCCTAACTCATTTTATGAGGCCAACATCATCCTGATACCAAAGCCTGGCAGAGACACAACAAAAAAAGAGAATTTTAGACCAATATCCCTGATGAACATCGATGCAAAAATCCTCAATAAAATACTGGCAAACTGGATTCAGCAGCACATCAAAAAGCTTATCCACCATGATCAAGTGGGCTTCATCCCTGGGATGCAAGGCTGGTTCAACATTCACAAATCAATAAACATAATCCAGCATATAAACAGAACCAAAGACAAGAACCACATGATTATCTCAATTGATCCAGAAAAGGCTTTTGACAAAATTCAACAGCCCTTCATGCTAAAAATGCTCAATAAATTCGGTATTGATGGAACGTACCTCAAAATAATAAGAGCTATTTATGACAAACCCACAGCCAATATCATACTGAATGGGCAAAAACTGGAAAAATTCCCTTTGAAAACTGGCACAAGACAGGGATGCCCTCTCTCACCACTCCTATTCAACATAGTGTTGGAAGTTCTGGCTAGGGCAATCAGGCAAGAGAAAGAAATCAAGGGTATTCAGTTAGGAAAAGAAGAAGTCAAATTGTCCCTCTTTGCAGATGACATGATTTTATATTTAGAAAATCCCATTGTCTCAGCCCCAAATCTCCTTAAGCTGATAAGCAACTTCAGCAAAGTCTCAGGATACAAAATTAACGTGCAAAAATCACAAGCACTCTTATACACCAGTAACAGACAAACAGAGAGCCAAATCATGAATGAACTTCCATTCACAATTGCTTCAAAGAGAATAAAATACCTAGGAATCCAACTTACAAGGGATGTAAAGGACCTCTTCAAGGAGAACTACAAACCACTGCTCAGTGAAATAAAAGAGGACACAAACAAATGGAAGAACATACCATGCTCATGGATAGGAATAATCAATATCGTGAAAATGGCCATACTGCCCAAGGTTATTTATAGATTCAATGCCATCCCCATCAAGCTACCAACGAGTTTCTTCACAGAATTGGAAAAAACTGCTTTAAAGTTCATATGGAACCAAAAAAGAGCCCGCATCTCCAAGACAATCCTATGTCAAATACTTTTATATCCACTAGTTCACTTAATTCTTCAACCCTTTGAGGCAAAACATATCACCTTCATTTTATGTGGAATTAACATAGAATCTTTTTAAAAATCAGCATTTGGACCAAGGCTCATCCAGATCTCTTTCTACCTACCATTTTTCAGGTATCCCCTTAAGTGAGAAGTGTTTGCTTGTTGAATAATGAGACCATGAGGCTCTTAATGTACTTCTATTCCAGACCCTTGTTCTTCACAGCAATGGGGTGAAATTTCCCTGTCGATTCAATCAGGGGAGTCTCAAAGGTTTCATAGAGTCTCTAGTTATATCAAGCCTAGCCTCCTCCTATATGAGGCCCCAGTGACTTCACCTAAGTTAGAAA